GGGGCGCGCTAACGGCGCCCTGCCCCGTCTCTTGTGTCCCCGTGTCGCCCCTGCAGGTACCCTCCGCAGGTCATGGAGAAGGCTCTGGAAATGGCCGAAGGCATCCAAGTGACCAGCGCGCCTGTCCGCACCACGAGAGACGAACTGGTTGCCAAGGTGAAGAAAAGAGGCATATCAAGTAGCAATGGTTAGCAGATCATAGCTGTGACAATACATAGGAGTCTAGAAAATGCTTGGTTTTCAATGTGTTTTGTTTACTTTGGGCTTCGAAAGTAGTCAAAGTAATTTACTTTTGAAGTTTCTTGTTAAACCTTTGCCCTTTTCCCTGCTATTTTCCCCTCATATTTCACCTGTAAAAGGGACATAATGCATAAGTATTCCTTTCGTAACAGACTTCTTGCTTTGAATTTCTACAACTGGTGCACTTTCAGCTGATTATTTTTTGATGCAAGAGTAGACTCTCGTACTCCAGCGTAAATGTATTTGTCTTACTTTGTCTGTAGCGCTAGTCAGATGTTGTTTCTTCGTTGAGAAGTTTAGTTTCTTAAATAAATTCTTAAAAGTGATATTTTAAAGACATTTTTGTGATACCAGTAGACAAAAATGTACCTTTTTTTTTTAGGTCAGATAGTGTATTTATTGTACTTTGGTAATTTTTTATTTGGACTTCAGGAGTACAAATACCTACTTGCCTGAGAGTCCCAAACAAAACCCCAAAATCTTACACCCAAGTATTTTTATTTTTTGTCCAAAAATACTAAAATGTTCTGAAATAGTAGGTTAGTACCTGCAAATGCAGTTCAGGGTGTATTCCTTTAAAGTTCACAGAGATTACTGCCAGAAATTTTTAGAAAATAGAGAAATTATCTCTAGATGGATATTTCATACTGTAGAGGATAACATACTTCACTTGTTTTGCAGAAGGGGTAGAAGAACCCTCCAAGAAGCGAGCTGTTGAGAAAAGCAAAGATTCTAAGGATACTGGAAAGGATGCGAGAACAACCAAGGCAGAAGTCCCAAAGGAAGCAGAGAGCACGTTGCCAAAAAAGCAGGAAAAAGGTACTAGCAAAGATCCAGAAAGTTCCCAGTCACCTTGTAGTTCAAATCAGGAAATGGTCACAGCATCAGACACAGAAACAGAAGGAAAACCTGCTAATGCTGAAAATGCTCCTGAGCAAAATGCATCTTCATCTGAAAAAGAGTCAGGAGAGAAGCCTTGCTCAAATCCACCTAAGGAAAGCAAGTGTGAAAATGAGCCATCACCTGAAAAGAAAACTGCAGTAGGTGCAGTGCCACTGGCTGCCCAGAGCACCCCGCAGGCAGCAGCAGCACCAGCTGCCAAGAGCACCCCGCAGGCAGAGGCAGTGGCAGTGCCAGCAGCTGCCAAGAAA